CGATCTACTACCAAGGAAGTGTGTAATTGATTTTGATAAAATGACGTTTGGGAATAACAAAGGCCAAGTTCCGGTAACTGTTAAAAGAGATATTGAACTAATTAGGTGCCATCAAGGTGAAGTCAAAGTGACTGAAGAAGTTGATGATGACGAAGTGGAACCAGGTATAGATAGTAATTGAATGTATGCGGACAGAATATTGTTGGCCACGTGAGACGTGAGTTATAGCGTTGTTATAGAGCGACTGTTGAAATTAAGTGTATCGTAAAGTTGTATTCGGAAAAAATAAACCAGTTTTATTTAATTAAGGACTTGTATCGCTAAAGTTTCGTCGGAACGAATTTACGGAAAATTAACTAACGAACGGAGACGTAACAATACAAACAAATACTCTAGTTTCGTTTGAGTTTACTTACTGATTATAAATCTTTTATTACAAGTTACAGCAGTAAGGAAGAATATATATATTTAAACAGGTATGACGTTTCGATCGCTAATGCGATAATTCTTAAGTAAACAGGTTTTAACAGAAAAGAAGGTTTTGTGTGTTTGTCTTAGAGCAAAGCCACATCGGGCTATATGCTGTGTCCACCGAGGGGAATCGAACCCCTGATTTTAGCGTGTAAAGAAGGTACTTGACAATGGTCGCACTAACTATCGAAACATCGTATTTATTTGAAAAAAAAATCTTCCTTACTGCAAAAAGTGTAACTTGTAAGGACAAAACAAATACCCTATATTAATAAAGACAAACAAACAAAAGAATAGCTGATTAGGTGAAGGTAGAAATACTGTGGTGTTAGAAAGTTTAAATATAAAAAAATAAACTGTGTTTAAATTAAAAGGGTCAATACAGGTAACTTTATTTAATGAAAGGAATAAATAAAAAATACAAGTGAAGTTAAATCACGCAAGATCAAAGTTTGTTAGGAGCAATAATGAAAAACGGTGACAAGACCTCACAGCGAGTTCCGACTCTCTTCAAATAAAAACGAATCTGCTGGAAAACGCCAAACTCTTTTTACAATTCACCTTTTCCTTCTAACTGAGAAATGGAAATATCACAATAATACGGAAGTATCCCTGTTACATGTGAGAGCCGTAAAATATTCTTCTGTACACAATGTATATAAAATATGATATAATGCAATGACTACTTAAAACAGAAATAGCCTTTTCGTGATAGAACCTTGCTACCTAAAAAATACCTAAAGTTAAGTATAGCACACAACTCGATCAGATTTAGTTCCTCCCAAATCAGAATTTAGAAGAAGAAAAAAAAAACTCTTATGAGTGTGAACTATACACTGAGTGGTCACAAGTAAATAGACACCTAATTTTTCGTCATTTAACTAATTTATGCTAACTAATTTG